CCCACACAAAACGCTAGATCCGCATGTCATTTGAAGATAGCTTCTGATTTGGTAATTTTTTAAATGGTACATTGTATCAATGTTTGCATATGTTTATCTTTATATTTGATTTTTATATGGTATTTATGTAGAAGAGGAAATTAGGACATGAGCCACCCCATAGTGAATTGTTCCTGTATATACACATTAAGAATCATGATGGAGTCACTTTCACAAATGAAAAAGATAGACAAATTCATGTAATATTCATTTCAGATTAAATTAACTTTTATATTGTAGCTACTCCATAATATCATTCCTAAATTTGATATCTTTTAACTTATAATATTTTTATTTTGTAGGCGGCCTATACAGAAAAACGGGAAGAGTTGGAAGCTGAAGGTGTTGAATTTGAGGAGGACAAGCTATTTTATGCTGTTGTAGGTGGTCATGATAAAAAAAGAAGACTTTATGGATTAGGCTCTTTTGCAAAGGCGGTTCCCAATAGGAATGGTAAAACGGCTTTAAGTTACATTCCGGAAAAAAATGATGAAATAGAAGAAATGAGGGAGCTTGTTGCTAAACACCAACAGCAAAACGAAGAGCTTAAAGAAATGATGAACGCCCAACAAGAGGAAAACAAAGCAAGGGTCGGGCATCTTGAAAAACAACTTCAAATGGCATTGGATCTTATTAAAGGCTTTACAAAACAACAAGAGTAGTAGGTTGATATATGTTTATTGAAGATTATGTATTTTAGAGAAGCAACTTTCTTTTTTCAATGTAATAAATAATTATTTTGTTATTTTATGATATGATGGTTATTATTTTTTTGTTTTTTTTTTGTTTTTCATATATTACTACAAAATTATTTGGATATAATTTATAAATCAATTATCGATCGGTCCATATTGAATCTGGTATATAATATATACACCGCTAAAATTGCTAGGGATTCATGACTACGAAATTTGCTAGGAAGTGATCAAACGGAATTTGCTAGGGATTCATGACCACAGAATTTGCTAGTGATTCATCACCACAGATTTAGCTAGGGATTCATCACGATGGATTTTGCTACGGATTCATCACCACGGATTTTGCTAGGGATTAACTACAACGGAATTTGTGACGGAAGAATTACCACATAATTTGTGATGAAAGCCTACTACGGAATACACGACAGAATACCATCTACCACATATTTCATTCCGTTGTCACAATTACAACAAAATTGTCGTTTCTGTTGCAAACTCCTCGCTACGGCGTTTTTAGGGATGAAAAAAGGTCGTTGCAAATTCCGTCGCTATTCGTCTTCTGCAACGGAATTTCAGCTTTTCGCAACGGATTCCTTATGTAGCAAAATCGTGTTTTTCTTGTAGTGGAATAATAACAGCTCATTAACGCATTAACCTTAGGCATGTTATCTTTTATCTTTCTTTCTTAGTGATTTCCTATAACTATCAAAATATAAATCTTTTACCATATGTTTGATAATTAAAACTTAGAGGTCTCATAATTACCTTGTATATATACATATTATATTACCATACATATGTACCCTAATTATGGTTAATTTGAAACAAGATATTTGGGCAGAGTAATGATTAGGTACATTACATATCCCTATATTTGACCAGCATTACTTCTAGGTACTATATTATCCTAGGGAATTGGCCATCATAACGTCTAGGTAATATCTCTTCCTAGACTATCGAACATCATAACTCTTAGGTATAATATCATAGCTTACAACTAGGTATAGTATCTATGGCTACATTATTCGAAGGTTTCACGCTTTATATAACTATTGATATTTATAGATATAAATAAGTTTTGATAAAGCAGTTTGATAAGTATGTATCCCCCCCCCCCCCCCCCCCCCCCGTAAAACCTTTAAAATAATGAAATGGGGTCGTGAACTCACCTTAGTAGCATAATCGGGGATGTCATTGCTACGAAATCCGAAGTGTCGCGCCATTGGAAAGGTTTCCGAGATAAATCAAGAGAGAGAGAGAGAGAGAGAGAGAGAGAGAGAGATTTGGGTGTGAAGAATTCTGAAGGTGAGCAACTCTATTTATAGAGCTTATGTGTGCAGTTCACTCTATTCATGGCTCCATCTAGAGTTTATCACATGAAGAATTGAGAAAAAATCAGTGAACCTTAGACTAGAAGAGTCCAAGTGTTGAAAATACCGAAACAGAGTTTCATAATCGTCAAGTGGCAAGTAATACAGAAAAATAAAGAGTTGTGAATCAACCAAGTTAATAACAAAACGTTTTTTAAGCTTATGATCAATGATTCAAATGTGTCTCATATTTATCAAAATTTTGTTACTAGTGTTTGAATGGTAAACACACTAAAACACTCAAAATGGTTCTCTAAAAACTAGTCTAAACAGCAAATGTGCAGAACAAGCAGGAAGAAGCTAGAATGAGCAACTTTATAATGGATCCCAAGGGTCCTATTTATAGGATTCGGAAAATCCCAGTATATGGCTTGACCAATCAGGTGTTGACACGTCATCATGACTTAGTCATCAGTTGAGACCTTTGCCCTACTTAACGTAGAATGGACGGAATATTCCAATTCCGTTAGTATTCCGTTAGGTTTACATTCAAGTTATGAGTCTTCATATATCTTGAGACTTCTTGATCAACATTGAAAATGTGATGAGCATCATGTTGCTCCATAGTCTTCTAAGATGTCATCAACTTCCAGAAGTGTCATTGATCTATTTGATTTGTTTCTTGAATGTTGGAATGTGTCTTAAACTTGAAGATATACAACTACGATGATGGACCATGAATGAAATGTATGTGTCATTGAGAACTTGGACGTACCATCATTGTACATGATGTACCATGAGCAATCTTGTTGAGCCATCAATTTGATCATGTTGATCGATTGAATTGAGATGAGCCACCAAGTATTCATTTTTATCCATCAACGTCTTGTTGCGCCATAGAGTTGTGGATGAGCTAACAATGTTTCTGATGAGCCGTCAATAATCATGTTGATCCATCAACGTCTTTAAGCTCCACATATGATCTAGATGTGCCATTTGAGATCATGATGGTCCAAATGGCTTTCTTCAAATGCTCCATGTTCAACAAGTGCTCCATGCCAGCTGCAAGTGCTCCATGACAACTGCAAGTGCTCCATGTAAGTTGCAAGTGCTCCAACATCTGATTCTTCAAACACTTGTTGAATCTTTAGGATCTTTCCAACCTAAAACATTATGATAATGTTTGTTAGAGAGATATAGATATAAACTCAACTTATTTCAAGTGACAATCACATAAAAATATTTTCCAACAGTTTCCCCCTATGTGATGATTACTGAAATAAGGAGTTGAAATAAAAGCAATATCATGCACAATGAAATTAACAAAAAAAATATGAATTACTAGTAGCAAAAAGAAAACTTCATACACATGTTTAAAAAAACAAAAAGAAACAAAAACACACAATCTAAACCTTGTTTTGTAAGTTTAGTAACCACTATCGAAAACTTAAAAACCATGTAAGTTCTTGAATTATCTTCACCCTTAACGGATTATCTTGGTCTCCTATTCTCTTCAAAAAACCAATGACACCTTCAATAAATTCTGAAGAGAATAGGTGTTTCTGAGATATTCTCATAAATCCGAATCGACCCTTATAGGAAAATACAACTCCTCTATGTGGTTTCTTTAGTATGTTCCAAGCAACTCATTTTCTACATTCAGATCCACATCTGGCTCGTCAGCTTCCTTTTCTACAAACATGCCCAACACATATTGCCTCAAGCGTTATAGGGCATTTGCATAAGCTTTATTTATACTCGCTCTCTGCTTCAACCAAATAATCAATGATTTGATATCATCTTGATTTATCCTAGGGAAATCAGCTTCAGAAAACATGAATTCAAAATTGTTTGTCCTTTTTCCTTGAAAGAAGACATATGACATCGTTCGAAATTCCCGAATGTCAATTTTACCAATTGAAGAAATCTTGAACTTTGACCATACTGAAACATCTTGAATTGGTTTCTCCAAGAATATTTTATTTACCTCTGTAATGTCTATACCAGACTTAACTGGATATATTGCACTTGGCCATAGATTGAACTTTATGCCATTCGGAGGAGCAAGAATATCCCCATTTTTTCTTTAGAGAGGTATGAAGGATGTGTGAAGGAATTTGTGGGCTTGATGACCTTGATCTTTTTGATAAGAATCTCTATCAGGATTGAAGAAGATGGTCCTCTTTGGAGATGGTTCTCGAAATTATTCATCGTGCCATGTGTTCCTTTCTTCAGGAGAGATCTCTAAAGATTTCTTTTCAAGAAGCACATCTTGATTAGCCTTTAATTGCTCTACGTGAAGATCCTTTGCTAATTCTTCATCCACCTTTTGTTGAGACTATTTCGCTAACTACTTCTTAAACTTGAATACAACCTTCTGTTTTCTACTATCCTTAGGATCAGTTTGAGGAAGCTTTGGTTGAGCGATTGGTTGTGATATACTGATAGGTTTGGTGACGGAAATAGTTTTCCTTCTTGGCAACTTAAGAGTTGGATCCTTGATCCCTTACTATCGAACGAATTCCTTTTCTTTTTCTACCATCTATGTTATGTTTTGTTGGGCTTTGAGTCTTGCTTCAGCATCCAATTTGTTAATTGACTCTAATTTCTCTTTTCTACTTTTCTGAAAATCATTTGGTACATCAGGAATTTGATGAATGATAGGAGAATGACTTGATCTGGACTTGTCTACCTTTTCCCCATTTGGTTCAAGTGGCCTGTCATTTGAACCAGATAATTTTGCTAGGATCAAGTCGAGCTTGGAGTCAGACGATGCAACTTTTTGTTGAAGCTCACGTATATCAGAAGAAGAAGATTGTGAATTGATACCCTTAACTTAATTGACTAGTAGTTGGAACGTTTTCTAAAGAGAAGAGATATCACTCGAGTAGTCATGGTCCTTCTAACAATTGGATTTTGAGAGATTTGCAATGTGAGATCACAATAAATCAAACTAACATTGAACTTTCTCTCTAAATGCTTGAAAGGGAGTAGTGGAAGATGATTCTGAAGCTTTAGAGAATTCTGCAACTGACTTTTCAAGAGTGGCAATATATCGGTCTTGAGCAGTGATATTACTCTGCAGATGATCTAGTTTAGCTTCATAGACTGAATCTAGATTTGATAACGACTGAAGAAAATCATCAATCTTCTGATACATCAGAGAGAGATGATCTTCGATGGTATTTTGAATTTTCAGATCAAGAGTTTCTATCTGCCGCATGTTACGAATAACTTGTCCCTTGATATATGTAGTCGTGCCATTAAAGTCTTCAATGGTGATCTTAAGTTTTTTCACTTGTGCATCTGTTGTCTAATTAAGGATACACACATTGTCTGCCACACATTCAAGATACCATTGAAATTTTTCCAGATATTCAGAATGAGAAGATGTGTGAAAGTGGATTTCCTCAATACCGTCTGCTACCATCTGGGCAGTTAGTCTAATACGTTCAGGCTTAGGTTCAGATATATTTGTTTCATCTGTATCTTCTGGAGTACCATCGTCGTGAGGAGGATGTGGTGGAAAATAAGAGAACTTAGCTTCTTGATTAACATCATGTTCTTGAGACTCTTTCTTAGGTGAGGGAGAGTAATCGTCAAGATCAATGTTCAAGGTCCTGGTAGATGCTTTGGAGTATAGGGCGATTGACATGTAATTTGGTTCATCATCGACTATCAGTCCTTCATTGGAAGGTATGTCTACCATCTGCATCGGGGTATCCTAATCTTGATTATCTTCAACTGGAGAGCTCTTAGTAAGATCTTCAAGTTCGAATTGCTTGTCACCTTCTTGTTCATCGTCCTCGTCAGAGTCGTAATTAACCAAGGAGACATGATTGCTTTCACCTTCTAGATCCGACTGAAAGTATGCTGGTGAAACTGGAGCTTGGGATGATGATTCAACATAATCAGATGGAGATTGAAACAATGAATCTAAGAAAGGGAGTCTCTTAGAGGTTGTACCAGATTTAGGAGTAGATGTGGGCTCAACTAAATCTACTCCAAGATTATCTTCTGATACATCAGGAGATGGGATAGAAGGCGGTTTATCTGACTTTGATTGCTTCTTCTTCTTCTTTGCCGACTTCTTGGATGCATGATCTGAGTGCTTCCTTTTTCTTTTGGGAGACGAAGTAGTTCCCTTGATGTATTTTTGATATGAGCGTAGAGAGGCACTGTTTTCACCTAGTTTTGCTAGAATAACATCTGGAATGATGAATGGATGTGAAAACTCAGATTCAGATGCAGTACAAATTCGATATGGTGACATATGCAAGAATAGTGGCAGTGGGCCTTCTAGAAGCTCCTCTAGTTTGAGATTGCTATTATTTATGACATCATGAATAATGATGGACCACCAGCGAGGATGATGAATCAGGAACTTATTCTTTGAGGCAGGGAGAAAAGGGAGGAAGTCTTCCCAAAGAATAGACACATAGTCAACACTGATATTATGGAAAATTCCATACATGATAATCTAAAGATCTGTTTTACCATGACTACGTCCACCAACTGATCCGAAAACACACTGAGTGTGTAAGGAACTAAGAAAGTTCCATGGCAAGGTAAAGCGATATTTTCTTAATTCTTGAAAGGTTTGGTTCAACTTTTTCTTCAAATTTGTACCCCATTTTCTTGAACATTGTCAACAGTTGAGCAAAAGAAGGTGTGACAAATGTTGAAGGTTCACAAGAACCATTGCTTGGATCTAAACAAATTACGAACTCTTATTTAGTTAGAACCAAGTTTGTTCGGAAAATATCAAATTCAACATATAGATCTTTTGGCTTTGCTCTTAGAGAGATGACTGCATATTGAAAGACGTCTAAAATAAGAGACCGTGGAGTTGGCGAAGTAGCTGTGAGTGCATATGCTAGTGGGAATTTTTGCAAATATTCAACAATGACACCAACTTCTTTAGGTTGTTCCTGCGTTTTAAGAAGTGCAATATAGTTTGATGCAGCCATAGTGAGTCGATATAATGATGTGCCTGCTACAGTGGAAGGTCCAGTTGCTTGAGATTTGGACGCCTTATGAGAAGATTTTGCTTTGGATGTTTGTCCATCTTCTTTGGGAACCATATCTTGAGTAGACAAAAGAAAAGAAAAAATTGGAATTGATTGTTAGTTAAAGAGAGATAGTTATAGAATAGTAGCTTATAACTTAAACTAAAATCTAAAAAAAAGTGTTGGGAAAAAAACTATATGAATTTTCATTAACTAAACAAAGTTATGACTTGTGTAGGATTGTTGATTGAACTATAGACAATAGGAATCTGCAAATTCAAATTCACTAAGTATAGTCCTGAAAGTGAATGACATAACAAGTAGGAATAAAAGAGAAAGGACTTTATGTCATATAAAACATAAGAAGAATTTGATGTTACTAAACCATAGCAAAAGTGCAAGGATCAAGTAAAACTGCTAAGTCATGGCCTATGATGACTATGGCATATCAAATAAAGATGCCTATAGAAACTAACAAGAAATTAGGTATCATAGAGACAGTAAGTGACAACTATATACGTAAATCCAAGAACACATAGAAGAGTGAATGGATTTAGATAGAGTTGAAAAAATATATTTATCTTAAAAGAACATGTAAAAGGCATGAAAATTAAGATCACAAAAGGATAAGCAAAAAGACATTACCATAAGGAAGAAAAGTGAAGGTAATAGATTTGTGAGAATGAAAAGCAAGATATGTACCAATAAGTATAATGCTCATAGGAGAAATTTGATCAAAGGATCAACACTAAGTAACTTAAGCATGGCATGTGAAAGTGAATCAATGATCAATAAAAAAGAAATAAATAAATAAATAAAAATGGATGCTTGCCCAGTATGATTGCAACAAGAAGAGGTGTTCACAAAGAAAAAATGATAGGCCAACACTAGGGGAACCTGATCATAGGAACATATGTACAGACTAATAAATACATGAATCATCAACGGAGGAAAGGCAACATTAGCACATGAGGTTATGTGAACAAGAAAGAGAGATATGACTTAACAGTTGATGTCTTGTTAAAAATCAATGAGCAACATAAAGAACAAGCAAAACTTTGACAATGACACTTGAGATATTTAAATCTAAGTTATGTCAAGAGAAACAACAAGAATTAGAAAGTGTACACCATGATCATCATTGATTGTAAAGATGAAGGATGAACACTTACCTAGAGTGATCAATAAATGTCATACACAACACAAAATGATTATGTACCACGTGATGACAATCACTGAACACAGGATAATCCAACAATCAATGTTAACTTGACTATGGTGAAAAAAATAGAATGTGCATGCAACACATGAAGATGCTCAATAAATTAACTTGTGACAACTATGGTTTCACAAAAAGATTGTGATACTTAGCTAGACTTTGGAGATGATCCACGAAGGAAACTAAGTTAGATTTATGATGCTCCAACAAAGAATGATAACGAAACAAAAAGAAACTAGGGTTTGACAAAAAAAATCGATCACTAGGGTTTAACAAAAAAAATGATCATTAGGGTTTTAAAAAAAAGCAAAGATGATCACCTAGAGTTTGTGCATGGCGCAAATAGGATAGGATAATGAGATGTTGCTCCAAAGGTTTGATGGCATAATATAATGGTATTCTCGTTTCTTGCTTGATGATCACGAAAGAAAGATGATGACACAAGTTGGTGATTGTCACGAGGGTTGTTGCTCACCAGGGCTGTTGCTCACGAGGGTTATTGATGGCGCAAGAGAGGAATCGATGTTGCTGTTACTCGAGATTAGGGTATGGAGAAAAAAAAAGTAGAAGTGAAGTATTTATAGGTGAAGGTTTCTAGGGTTTCTCAATGAGCCAAGAGAGTACTTTCATGGGCCAACTTGTGGGCCCAGAAGACTTGGATGACACTCAAGAATAAATAGGAAAACGTCAACTTGAGTCACGAGCGAGAAAATGATGAATTGAGAATCAAGAAAGAAAAGGTGGTGCATGCATGGATGTTATCTTAAAAAGCATGCATGGCACCTAAGGAATGTTCATGAACTACTCGAGACGTGAATGGCCTACTTGAAACGTGTATGGCCTACTTGAAACGTGCATGGCCTACTTGAAACATGCATGGACAACTTGAAACATGCATGAACTACTTGAAACGTCTAGGGTGCATTTGTGATGTTCTATGTAGACATGATGATCCTCATGGACGTGATGTGCCAAGTGGCTGAAGATGCTCCAAGTTCTTGAACATGCTCCAATTTTCTTGAACATGCTCAAAGTTAGTAAAGATGCTCTAAGATGGTCCAAGTGACTTCCAGTTGATCCAAGGTAGTAGAGATGGTCCATGATGGTCCAAGTGATCAAGTTGATGAAGTTGGTTCAAGTTGAATGAAGATGCTCATAACCCGATTTGTACTGACCAATTATGTCTCGCCGCAATGCATATATTTTTGTCTAAGGCTTAGTTACTTCCCAAACGATAAATACTGACAATCCTCATAAACGGTCCCTACTTATTTTGAACGACATTCATTTTTGGCATTCCTACCACCTATACCATGTTATTTACCCCTTTCATTTTAAAAGGTATCGCCAAATTTCAAGAGAAACTACTTTAATAAAATAAACTATATATTATAATTGACCTAAGAATCTAACTACACTTCTTTATATTTTTGTAGAACTCTTTTTTTTTATTTTTATTGTTTTTGATTTTTGATTTTTTTGATTTTTAAATCTTTTCTTATAACTCTAACTTTTACAAAATACACAAGAAAATAATTTCTACCTTTATTTCTATTTGTACTTTAGTTCCTCACTTTCTAAGAAATTCATTGGAGTGCTCGGAATCCCTTAAGTCGCTAATGGGGTCCATGACTTTCTATGAAACCCTTTTAAACGATATTTCATCCCATCCATCCAAGATTTTATAATTAGGTGGATAGATATAAATATCCCTGTAGGGAATACTCATCGAGTCCCAAAGGTCACAGATTGACTTCACTCCTGAACTATAACTTATTTAATATATAACTAGACTCAAAGTGAAGAAATTAAACAGATAAACTTGGAACTTGACTCGCTTTGTTTTAACGGAGAGGCTTTTTATTAGGTATAGATATTCACAAAGCAAAACTTTTTATGTCCCTCAAAGTACACAAGTTTGCGTTTTTGTCTCATGAGTTCACTAGGACAGGGAAGCCACAAATATACTATAACACATTGGTTAAACTAAACTTTAGAGACCGCCTCAAATTATCCCACATAACATTAGTATGTGATGTATGTTATAACTCTGGACCACCTATCGGGGCCTACAGCTTATCCGGACCGCTCGTCGGGCCTTCGGCCTGACTAATACGCCCTTACCGGGTCTTCAGTCTATCCGGGCCGCCCTGTGTATGTTGGCACAAAGCACAAAGCATGACGCCTCAACCCAACCCCCAATCAAACAATCATGTGCACATAAATATCATACGCTAGCTAGCATGTACATATAGTCATAAAAATCTAACAGATCACTATTCATAGCATCATCCTATATACTAGGATACCGATCTAACAGATCACTAATATAGCATCATCCTATAACTAGGATACCGATCTAACTAATCACTAACATAGCATAATCCTATAACCAGGATACCGATCTAACAAATCACTAACATAACATAATCCTATAACGAGGATTAATTCATAAAGGGTTAGCCTTGGTGCCTTAGACCCTGTTGATATATTGAGAAGAACTCACTTCACAAGTAGTGCAGAACTGGACTGAAAGTCTCCGGCCGCTGTCTCACCGAAAATCCCGAACTATCCAAAATAACGAATACTAAGTCAATAATTGGTATATCAATCTTGACCAAGGGTCCCACATAGGGTAATTGTCCATTATTGCCTTTTCTCTAATTTGGGTCTAGGCCCAATACCAAATCCATGATTTAAAAGTCTATACATCCAAAGCCCATTAATGGCCCAATTTTCCTAATTGGGCCTTATTTTAAGATCCATTATCAAAACTGGACCAAAACACAACTATTCAGAAAGTCCAACAAGGCCCAAGTCCAACTGGTCTAAAGGCAGCCCAATCCCGAAGCGTAATTCGTCAAAAGCCCAATAGAGGGCGTACGCGGGGCGTATGCGGGGCATACTCTGTTGGTATGCTGGGCGTACACCGACTTGCGTTGACCACCATCGGGGTGGTTGACCTAGTACGCAGGGCGTACATAACTTACGCGGGGTGTACGCAAGTTTTACCAAAACTCTAATGTGTGCTTAATAGCTTATGCACTTAAACCAAAATTCCAGATCCATCGACCAAATGTGTCTTAGAACCATAAAGTCTCGAACTTTAAGACTTTGGACGTCCATAAAGCTCTTAATACATGGTCTTAATCTATTAAGACCTTTCTACTACATGCATGGGACACTTTAAGCCATTGGGACATCATTTTTATCACTTATGTACGCTTAGCGTACTCTTCTTGGCCTCAAAGTCGCAACTTTAGCCCTTAGGCTTCTCATGGATTTACTCTTCCAACCCAGGGACTACAAATGACAAAAAAATAATAAAAGATGGGATTCGGAATTACCTGCAAATCTCGGGATGTTTCAACTCTCCCCCACTTGACCTAGACTTCGTCGTCAAACTCTGCTGCAGTGAAAAACTCCAGATAGTGTTGTGAATCTGACTGAGCTCCTTCGGAAGATCTAGTCGATATGCCACCTTGCCAACCTTGGCAATGATCATGAATGGCCCGATGTATCGAGGACCCATCTTCCCCCTCTTCCTGAAGCGTATCATATCCTTCCAGGGTGAGACCTTCAGTAGTACGATGTCTCTAACCTGCAACTCGAACTCAGATCGGCGCCGGTCAGCGTAACTCTTATGCCGACTCTGAGCGGTCTGCAGCCGCTGCCTAATCTGTTGAATCATCTCGGTAGTCTGCAGAACTACCTCGGTCCGTGCCATCACCCTATGGCCAACCTCGCCCCAACAGACTAGGGTACGACATCTCTATCCATACAACAACTAATAAGGTGGAGCGCCAATGCTAGAGTGATAGTTGTTGTTGTAGGAAAACTCTGCAAGGGGTAGGTA